GCAGGAACGCTGCCCTCCTGGGAAAGGGACCGCAGAGCCTTTAAGGAGAGCTGGAAATGTGTCACCTTTTTTCTCCTGCTCAGCTGAGTCATCCTGGCGCATGACTGAGTAGCGGCTCCTTCCCTTCCCGGCATCGCGCTTAGGCGAGCAACGCCTTAGTGCCAGGTTTCGCCTGATCCTGTTCTTCCTGGGCACCACCTCAAGCCTCCTTCATGCTTCCTTTCCAAGCCGGCAGAGCCTTTAAGGAGAGCTGGAAATGTGTCACCTTTTTTCTCCTGCTCAGCTGAGTCATCCTGGCGCATGACTGAGTAGCGGCTCCTTCCCTTCCCGGCATCGCGCTTAGGCGAGCAACGCCTTAGTGCCAGGTTTCGCCTGATCCTGTTCTTCCTGGGCACCACCTCAAGCCTCCTTCATGCTTCCTTTCCAAGCCGGGCAGCTGTTCTCTATAGGGGAGCATCCCTCATCTCCTGTGCCCCCAAGGGCAGGAGGAGAGATAAGGGCCACAACACACAGCCTGCCAGCTGGAAGCACTGAGAGAAGCTGCACGCAGCTCCATCCCGGCAGAGAAGGGGCACATACATCCTACAGCAGATAAAGTGCTCCCTCTTCTAGCCTTGGCAGGAGATTTGTTTGGAATTTCACTCTGAATGCATTTGCAGGAGAAGGTATTAGAGGCAGGATAGCGCCTTACGTGTCTTTGACACGAGCGTCACCGTAGTGATCACAGTACAGAGCAATCACACTTGTGCCAGCAGTTAATCATCTACCCGGGGTTCGGGCGCTGCAGAACCCCCAGGGAAGCTGAGAGCGGAGCCGGCGCTGCCGGGCGCGGGGCAGGCCAGGGCAGCGGCGCCTCGGGAGAGCCCAGCACGCCGGAAATCCCTGGAAAAGAGGAAAACAGCAGCCACCTCATTCATCCCTCAAGAAGGATAAGCGATTCCCAGCGTTCGGCTTCTTCTCTAGGAGCATTTAGTTAATTCCCAGATGTGTTCCAGAGCTGCAGTTCCCATTGCAGGCCCGTGAGCTGGGGTGTTAACCAGGGACTGTCATGTTATTTTTTTATTTTATTATTTTTACTCCATTCTTTTCAAATATGTGTTCTGATTTGTTAATACTTTCCAAAGAGAAGAGAGTAGAAAGGAATGTGAAACCTGCCTGGGGTTTTATCTGGCCAAACATTTTCTGGAAAGCGGGGCAAGCTGACTTAGGAGAACACAAATTCTGCAGGATTAGGGGACTGAAATTCCAGCTAGGGCTGTGCTGGGTTTCCGCGGAGGGGAGGGCATGCCGAGCAGCGTGCTGCAGCCGATGGAGGTGTCGCGGGTGGGGCCTCCAGGGCCCCAAACACCTTCCCGAGCCCTCGCAGCGTGTGGGCTGCGCTCCGAGATGAGAAGAGCTGCTGCTGCCTCTTAAGGCTCTTTCTTGCCGGGATGAGAGTCTGGAAATGCTTTGGAATGAGGCAGTGTTAGGCTGGTGCTCTGAGCTGTGGGCCCCGGGCTCTAAGCCATCTCCCTGCCTTCTGGAGGACTTTCTAAAGTTATCTCTGATCCAATGATGCACTTTAACTTGGTTCAGGGTCCCAATGAAGGTCAGGCAGCTGACAAGGGTGGCTGAAAGAGGAAAGGTGCCCAAGGGGCCCAAACGTCTGCTTTTGGGGACCCCAGCAAGTAATTCTCATTATTGCTATTGCTTGCAGCGCTGTCAGAAGAGCTCAGCCGCTTAGATATCCTGTGTGACTTGGAGGTAAGGGCGCTCGCGGTTCCTGCAGTTGCAGCTTTCGTTCCTGATGGTTTTACCCCTGAACAAAGGACTGACCCCACCTTGTTATTGGCATTTTCCCCTCTGAGTTCAAAGAAGATTTTGTGAAGCTGTTCAGGAAGTCACTGTGCACGCTCCCCTCTGTTGGGCTCCCTGCTCTGCTGGCCTACAGACCACAGTCGTCCCGAGAAAACATACAGATTGAGGTGAGGACTTGGCGGGGGGGTTATCCTAAGGTTCACATGTAGGAAGAATAAAAATGATGCCAGTTAGAATCATAGAATCATTTGTCAAACTCGTGCAAGAGTTTCTTCATGACCGAGAGTCTTTCTTTGGTTAGGCTGTTGAAATGATGCTCGTTGTACATGCCTAAACAGCGGGAGGCTCTACAACTCCTCTCCCCCTCACGTTTCCTGCACTGAGAATTTCCTAGCAGATTTGTCCCTTTGTCTAAAACAGAGATAAAAACTTAATGTAGGTACTAGGTTTATAGTCAAACGCCATAAGCAGAGCACAGAATTCCAAGTAACCCTGAGTCAAACAGGTGTTATTCCTAGGCATGAGGTGGGAAGCAAGGCAAATTTCAGCATTTCAAAATTACATGTTCAGAAGATAATTTTAATGATAAATTTAACTATAGTTTCTGGTGTACCTAGGCTATAGTAAACAAAATGTGAATGTATAGCCCTAGCTAAGTTGTCTGTGAGAAGTACCCATTCAGCCTTACGCCTCTGTGTGGTCGCTGACTCTCTGAGGAGTGAGTAAATTTAGCAGTGTGCTCTTGGCAGTGTCACCTTCTATAACTGAGATACAAGAGTTCTTTTAAAAATAGATAGATAAATTATTTACAATATTTAGAGAATCATTCTCAAAGCACATTAGTGCAGAAGCCTTGTTTTGCATCTGGTCAGACGTGCTCAGCTGGTTTGGTCCACAAATCTGATGAGTCCTGCTGCCCATGGATTTTTGCTGTGGCACACAAAGTACAGCAGTCAGGGAATGTTTTCTCTACAAACCCCGAGTGACGTGTTTGAAATGGCTGGTGAATGAGCACAGACTGCAGCGTTCTGCTTGCTCTGAAGTTTTCCTTCATTCGGAATGAAGGGATCTTACCACTACTGTTGTAATTCCACTTCTTTGAGCAACATAGAGATTTTAAACAAATATAGATCTGCTTTTTTTCTTAGGAAATTTCCTGAATTTAATGGCTTGAGTTAAACCTTTCCGAGTATCACAGACACTTTTTTTTTTTTTTTTTTTGAAGCTGTTCTTACATGCTTTAAATATTGTATTTCGAGCAAATCGTTCTTTCACCAAGGTAAAACATGGATTTGTGTGCTGATATGTATTTCTATCCTCCTCTCTCTCCTCACCTCGACTTTAGATGGGGGAGGACTATATTCCAAAGTGCGAATACTGTGGTAACCTGCTGAAACTGTTTCCTTCCTTTGAAACTGTGTGCCTGCCGTCGGCGGACTATAAATCGGTAAGGGCACGGGGAGGATGAGCACAGCCTCGCCGGGGAGCCGCGCGCTGCCCGACGCTGCCCTGTGCCTGCAGAAATTCTGCTGCGAGCGGTACCAGGAGCTCTACGAGTTCATCCTCGAGGAGAGGAGGCGCCGCGAAGCCGCCTGGAGCAACCCCATTGCTATCGGCCCCCACGAGTCCCACGGCAACGAGACGGAGCGGCGCCTGGCGAAGGAGCGCGCCTACCAGAGGTGCCTGCGCTGGCGGGGCGGGCGCGGGGCTGGCGCGTGACGTACCCGCGCGGCAGGAGCACAGCGTGGAGCTCAGCCGCTGTTAGACACGCACATACGGAAGAAGCTAGACACGAGGAGAGGGGCTGCTCTTGGACATTACCTGTTCGGTTGCTCTAATGGGCAGCGTTGCTTTTTTTTCCACATAAAATCTTCATATAAAAATCCTTCATAAAAAATCCATTACTGTGCTTAGCTCTATTATCAGTAGAACTGATGCCATTGCAGTCATAAAGTCTGTTCACTAAATATTTCATCATAGTACTTTGCATTGGAGCAATTTTAATTTTTGAGGTTTTATTACATTGGTGCCATTCCATGGCCTCCAACAGTTATTTGCAATTATGTGAGTGGAGAGAAAAGCACGTTCAGCAGCTTGCATTCCCAGTAAGGACAATGTAATAAGCATAGGACAGTATCCTAAGGATATCCAGTACTACTTTACATCTGAACAAGATGTGTGAAATGTATGTCAAGAACAGTTCTATTTTGCAGGCAGCAGGAGAGACAAATGGCCAAACAGTTAGCTTTCCTGGCAACGGAGCCTGCAAGTTTACCTGAATGTGAGTTTGCATTTATTTATGTATTTATTTATTGCAACAGGAAGTTAAACCGAGCTGCTTGTGTCTAATGCTGCTCTGATCAAATAGGAGGATTTATGCAGGGGCATGTTAGTTCATTATCTAGTGTGAAATCCCATTAAATCAGATTCTGCTGAGTTAAATGGTTCCTCACTTTTCTTTTTTTTTAAAAAAAGGCAGTTAGCTTTTCATTGCAAAGACAGGGTCCCCTTGCGGTTATTTTCAGTACTTAAATGTGAATATTCCATCTGAGATGCACAGAAACTGACCTTAAGGAGCAGTAAGTGGGCAGAGCTGAGCTGGGAAGGTAGGAACAGCCAGTATAGCGGACTGTGTTCTGCCTGGCGGGCGAACACCCGGAATTGCTGGTCCTGGCTGTGGGTGCCGAGCAGCTCCCTGGATGCAGCCTTGTGTGCCCAGCTGAGCTTGCAGCACGGCTGCGGCTGCACGGGGTGGCCGGGCAGCGCGGCCCATGGCAGCTCTGTCCTCCCGAGCACTGCCAGCGCTTTCCAGAGAAAATGTCAGTATTTACGCACACACACACAGATAGATAAAATTATGGGGGGAAATACTTTGTTTTTCCCTACCGCTGTTCTCTGAAACAGGTGAACAGTTTGGACCGTTCTCGCTGGGCAGACATGCCCGGGTGCAGACTGCAGCGTTGCAGCCAACCCCCAGACCTGCAGCCTCTTTCCAGAGGCGCCGTCACCCCGCGTGACGCACGGACCCTTCTTTGCCCCTCAGTGTCGAG